GTGAGACTTAAATTACAATAATAATACAACAACGTCTTTCAACAACTTAGTCCATTAGCAGTTAGCCACTATAGCTATCACCAGCAGCTACTGGTTAATAGCTGCTATTGAGAAGTTGAGAAAACTGATGAAGATGTGCTACCAGCAGTTAAAACTGTCACATTTCAAGTTAAAACATGAGTAGCTCATGTCGCGATATACAAGAGAAGCTGTCTTAATGCACTGCCTTAACATGAAATGTGTTAAAATCTTAGGTAGCACATCAGTGGTGGATCTGGGGACACTCTCCTAAGGCATAGTTTTAAGATGGCAAGCTATAATAATTACTATGACAAATGAAAATGAATGAATAATTACATAATAATTACAAAAGTACATTTATGGGGACAGGCAATGTTATAATGTTATTATTATTTTTTTTTTAATTTAAATTAGATAAAAGTGATTTAATATTTAAAGGCAGATTTTCTAATACTGACTGAAGTGTTTCTTCCACATTTTCTCACATTCAGATTAGCAGATCTCTCTTCAGCTTTTAGTACAGGGAACACAAGCATTTAGCAGGTAGTTTAACAGTGTTCGTTTTAGCAGAAACACTCTATGAGCCCCAACACATGAACTGTTTACAGTTATTTTTGAGTGAAAATCTAACCTAATTTTTCTCTCTGGCATTTTGGACATCTAACAACTGGTAAGATAATTTTTCTGCATTACTATTGCTTGTAAGAGTCAAAGTAGTAGTAGTTATGTTTATTTGTGAATAGTGAATTGATAGTAAAAAACCTTTAAGCAATCTTCCAGAATACTGTAAGTCTGTAGGGGACGTCATGATACAATAAATATTATTTTTCATTATTATATTGTGTTGGATCTTTACATAAGTTCAGAAGTCAGATGTGTTTTTGTCCATGTTAACGGCTGTGGGGTTTGCTGCAGTTCAGATACAGTAGCTCTTTTCAAAGCTTAGTGATCTGGCCCAACAGTACTTTAAAGCATCACTGCAGCACTCCTGACATGAAGGGTGTTCTTACAGTATAGGCAGCTAAGCTTTTATTAGATGCCTTGTTTGGGCCAAATGCTAAAAGAACATCACACTTATCTTTTGATAAGGCAGTTGAGTGCTTCACATCATGAGCATTATTTGTATAACAGCATGAGTTCGATCAAATCAGTCCATTTCTGTTCGAATGTCACTGTGTAGACAGTGAAGCAGCTCACTAGTGTTCAGAACTGAGCATCGTGTTTTCTTTTCATTGCCCTCTCCAGCTTTTTATTTACACTGAGTTGCAACGAAATAAAAATGATTATATAAAACTATTATATAACCTCCTGCTTAATCATACAATGTTTGTACAGTGTACCTCTAACAAGAATGATCTTACCACTTTATGTGCATTTCTTTTGAAGAACGTTGGATCAGCATAAGTTACATCATCATGGGTCTGAACTGTTTCAATAATAATGGCAGAAATGTTAAAACAGCAAAACTCTTACATTTTGTACTGATATCAATAGGTTTATGGGAAACACTTGCCCTGTTGATGTGTTTCTTTTTGTTTCTGGCAGATCCAGAAGATCCAGATTGCAGCTACTATCAACAGAGATCCAGCAGCAGCAGCAGAGATCAGTAAGGGTATGTTCAATAAGGGTATAAATGGTTCTGTAATGGACAACATGTCAGATCAATAACAAAAACTTTGAGGCATTAGCACTATATAAACGTAATGTAGGTCTGAAACTGTAATGATAAAAAGAAACAGTCATAGTGTGTGTATTTACATATGTATGTGTAATGGTGTAGAAAAAAACGCAAGTGACATACCTGCACATGTGTGACAGAGTTTGCTGATGTTGAGATGTTTGGTCTGGTTGCTGACAGGATTGTTCACTACACAGCTGTAGGTGTTTTTATCCTGATATTCCACCTCCAGAGGTAGAGAGAGACTGATGCTGAGATCAGACACATTGATGCTGGACAATAAACTGTTTCCTTTGTACCAGGAGAGAGTCACATGACTCACATTCACAGCTGAACACACCAATGAACAATATGATGATGAACAATGTGAAGAGTTTCTGGAGATAACAGGAACTGGAAGACGAGCTGGAAAACATGAAAAAATAAACAGAAATAAAGATGAAGTGAAATAATCATACAGAACTGAATTTCAGAAGCAGTGGATATCAGCACTATTAGAGATACTGAACCTGGAGGATGTGAAGCAGTTTTTGGGCCCAGGACCTGGGGGTCGGTTGTGGGTGCCACTGAATGGATTGATTAGACAAATTAGACAGGTCTTATAAGTTTGATGAATTCTGCAGCCCTATTATAAACTTACATGAAATAATAATGAACATTAGTATGTTTATTAATACAAACATTAATACAAAAAGTGCATTGAAAACTGATCTATTGCCTATATTCTCATTTCAAACATAAAAACATCAACTACAGCAGGCTATAAAGATGATTTAGTATTATTTACAATATGAATATGAAAGGGACAGATTACATGAATTCTCTACTTACCATAAACAGTAACATTAAATTTCTTGATAGTCTCCTGATTCTTAATAGTGATAGTTAATTGATAAAGTCCAGAGTCTGTGGTTCTGGTGTTTGTGATGGTCAGAGATCCAGTCTGATCCAGCTTCAGTCTGTCTCTGAATCTTTCGTCATTATCATATTGAGGATCATTCCCGATTGCTTTCTTTATTCTAGCTATACGTAGTTGTACAAAACGCCACTCGATCTCATCATATTTGTGTATCCCATTAACATCACTGTGTAGAATTATAGAATCTCCCTTCTTCACTGAAACAGACTTCACTTCATTGGTCCCAACACCAAACACACCTGGAGAACAAAACAATTAGCAACAATTAGTTTAATGTTGTTTAACCAAACGTTTTGGTTTTTTAAACATTTAAAACGGAAATAATGTACAGCTTCGTAGTATTTTGACTTGAAAAATCTTTTTTTTTTTTAAGATTATAGAAAGACATACATCACATAACAGCACCATAACATAAGAATTACTGGAAAAAAAAATACTATAGAAATTGACTAGACAAAGACATTTACTTGTGCCCTATTGAAATGATGCCATTGAATTGTACAATCATACTGGCTGAAACAAAGCCTGCTGGGTATCTTAGATCAGGGGTTTTCAAACTTTTTGGAGCCAGGGACCCCTTACAGGGGAGAGGATTTTCCAAGAACCTCCTCATTATTATAACAGTGTTTAAGGCTAACGTTTAATATGGGTAGGAGGAATGAACATAATATGATTGTTTTATTGGTGCCAATGTTCCCTATTGTATATGTACTTTATAATACTACAGCATAATATAATTAAATTTACCATATTTTCCGGAAAGTTGCACCAGGTCAGGGGGGAAGAAAAACAAAACAAAACTTGCATTGGTGTGTAAGTCACATTTTACTATTACTTTCAGAAATAATTTAAACACTGAATAGGTCCAAATAAAATGAATGTTAGGAGAAAAAAAAACATTATAAACACTAACATGATTTGGAGTGAGGGAAGGTAAAATTCATTTAAATTTTGTGGCATTAAAAACTTTTTCATTCTGCGTCGCCCCATCAAGCTCTCGCTGGATCTGCTCCTCTTCTATCAACGAGAGGAGCGTCTGTATTTCCTCAACAGACAATGAAACAGCCACTTTTTGGTTGTTAAAAAAAAGTGCGCTCGTTCAAAACAATTGTGTTCGATCCTTCGCTGGCTGTGCCGATTTAAATCTAGCGGTTCTGTTGTGTTTGTGTCGCAAGTTCAGTGACGCAGGTAGTGATGATTCTCTCCGGCCAATCCGTGATCAGCAGAGTTA